TTTTGCTTCTAGCTAAAGGAATGGAGCCATTCTTAGAGTAGTTTCTAAAAGGACATTTTGGAAAAGCCAAGAGTACTTTGAAAAACTTATTTGGAGTTATGCATTGAAGTGTTGGTAAGCTTGAGAAAATATCTAAAACAAGTATTACAGAGGATTTACATGTCTAATTTTAAAGAGCTCTTATATATATTAGTAATACAGACCTTGCCCAAGGAGAGCTAAGAATTATGCCTTTACATACCAAACAGTTCATATAAATAGTTTCTTCTTACTGAGACAAAATATCAAACACCTACAGTCTAAAGGAAGAAAGATTTATTTGACTTACATTGTAATCCCATGGAAATGTTATTGGAATTCTAGCAAGTTAATTCTAATCTACCACTTCCAGTGCAATCTATGGAGAGAATAAAGACATTAAGACATATTTATAATTATGGGGGTCAGAGAGTCCTGAGTCCAGCCCATATGAAGGTTCATTGGATCAAAGGCCATGACCCAGGGCCTAAGCTGGGTTTTATTAACTCATGAAGAAGAGGGTGGCTAGAGGATGAGTGACTGTGAGAATGGCTAGAATTACATGAATACTGAGAGCTGGGTAGCCGGAGGTCAGAAACCCCTCTGCAATATACAGAGAGAAGGATGTACAGAAAGATCAATCTGCCTACCACAATTGTGTTAATGTTTCATGTTTTGGAGGCCGGTGCTTCAGTTTCTGATGTGCAAACTTTTGTGCCCTGGGAAGTCATAGCCCCTTATCTGGAGGCTCCAACCCAGTAGACAGCCTTGGAGCACTGAATCTGCATTCTGCTGCGCTCAGCCATTTAGGGAGACACCAAAGTGAGGAACAGCTGTGTCTGGCTTCAGGATCACACGTCAGTACTTCAACCAGTTCTATTCACATTGCGTAGAGCTAATTGAAGGAAAAAGGAAATGGCTTAGCCAGCTCTTATCAGTACATGGAGATAGGGCCAGGTAGAGCCAAAGTGGAGGTAATTGCTTTTTATTCAAGCAGAGTCATTCAAGTGGTCCTCTGCAGTTGGCTGGCTCCAAGCAAGAAATAGCATAGTGGAAAGTTCTGGCAGAGGAAAGCTGCTCAGGTCATGGTGATCAAGAAGCAGAGAGAGAAGGGAGGAGCTGGGGAGGAAGACAAACCCTTCCAGGTGGGCACACCCCCACCAGTGACTCATTGTTCCAACCTGGTTGAACTCCCAACAGCTCCTTCAGCTGTAGATTCCTCAGTAGATTAATCCATAAATGAGCATAGCGCCCGCATGTTCACTCACCTTCCAAAAGCCCAGCCCCTGAACATATGAGTCTCTTGGGGTGTTACAGAAAAACCAATATCAAATCGGATGGAATACTCTGTGCCAAGGAGTTATAAGACAGCTGTTTGTTATGCTAGTGGGACCAAGTCTAAATCATTAGCTAAGAGCCAGCTTTGAGTTCAGTTTAAAGATAGTCTATAAGATAGAAGTAAAAGGCATTACATGATTGGTTACATGGATTGGGTGAAGACATGAACTGTCAGGAAAACTTAACTCTAAATACATTTGCTTACAGGAATTGTTTATCATGGCATAGTAACATCCTGGGAATGAGGGAAGGGGGTTCAAGTGGAGCAAGCAGAGTTAAAAAGTGTCTTTGACTGGGTTACTTCACCCCCACCAAAGCCCTTGAAGCCAGTTAGAAGCCATATATTTTCTTAATTAAGGGAAACACAAGCTGAGAATAGTCAAATTAACCCAGTGCATTATCAGGAGAAAAGCAGCTGAACCCAGACAGTCTAGGCAGTCTGAATTCAGCAGGGGGTTTACAGGGAAGGCAGCAGGAGCAGCGGCAGAGGCTACCATTTGACTTTAACTTGCCTGGAAGTTTGTTACTCTATAACGGTGCCTTTACTAATCATATCATTATGCCGTTACAGGGCACACTCCTAACCCTCTTCCTGTGTTGTCACTAGCATCTGTGGTGTGATCCTTTGCTACTGATGAGAATACATAGTTGGTATATAAAAATATAAACAGACTTAAAACAGTAATATACTTACACTAGAGTTCATCTCCAAAGAAACATCCACTAATGAAATAACTTAGAATTGTGAGTCACCTGTTCTATAGGAGTATGAGTTTTCTAGAAATATTTATTTGCACAAAAAATACCTAGAAAAAGAAGTATTTTTGGAGAATGGCTATGTTTTGTGTGAACTCTCCATAGTCTCAATATACAATTAAGTTAAAAATAAGAATGCAAGGTGTTTGTATTATATTATTTCCATTTGGTCACAAAGAAATATTTATTCACTTTCAAGAAATATTGTATACCAGATACCATCCGCATATATTTGTAGAGTATGGGATTACATGTCATTATAAATTCTTTTTAATATGGTCAAATATTCCTAAAATGAACGTAGATCATTTTGTAAGTGTCAGAATTTTACTTCATTCCTTAAAAGATGAAATAAAAACAAGCGTGTTTGCTGAGAACCTATTTAGAAAGCCAGGGCTTTGACCTGGGCCGGGGCCCGGCTGTTATGCAGGGAGAAGAATATCACATTGATGCAGGAGGAAAGGTGTTACCAGACATTTCACTCTCTGGAGTTCTGGCTTTTCTCAGTCCTGCCATCAAGGGAATGTTTTAAGGAAGTTGTCACAATGGCTCATTCTTCTGCATTCACGCAAATCGAGATGGTTCTATTTTTCTCTTCTTAGCAGGGTTTCTGTTTCTCTTTGCTGTGACATGATCAGGGCTGGGGTCATGAAGGCTGCAGCCACATGTGGGAAGGGAACGAGCCTCGTATAAGAAAGTAGTTGGTCTTTATTTATGCAGATACCAAGAGTTTAGTCATGTAGGCCTGGGGATCGCAATTTCAGCATAAGTAACTCTTCTGTTCGGTGTGCAGACAAAGTGAGACCTCCATGTTTTTCAAGTTGCCCTTTTTGCCTCCCACTAAGACCTTCCTGGAAAACAGGTAGAACTGGACATTGAAAATACCAGCCCCAGTCAGCCTATCCTTCCTTTCTCACCATCACTATTTTCTTGCTCTGTGGCTGGTCTCTGAGGGCAAGTAAAGCGAAGATAGGTGACAGGGGCTGGTGTTCTCATTTCTAGTTTCCCAGGCTGATTATTTTCTATTTAGGTCTTATTTTGGGGGGAAATTTTCTCCTCCAAAGATGGTGTATTAAAACGTGTGCATAACTGTGACCATGTGGTGTATGTTACCTTCCCCATGTTCTCTTAATATATTTTCGGGACCAAGTGGGCAGACAGGAGCAGTATTTACCCTGAGATCTATTATCATATCCCCAAATCAGCCCTTTCTCAGATATCCATGGTGTGGCAGACGAGAACTCCAGAAATGCTAGGTTCCTTGGAAACCCATGATATAAGCGATGTGCTTTTAGAGCTGCAAGATCCTTAAGGATTCAATTTCAGTTTCGCTTTGCATTTCTTGCCAAGAACTGTCACAGACATCTGAGATTCCTAAACTGGGACATGGTTGGTCCTAGATTATAGGAGCTGAGCTGGGGGTCTTCAAAGCTTGAGCATCTCTGAAAGATTCAGCATGTCTGTCCCTTGACTTCATGGGAGTCCCTGTCATGGTTTTGAAGAGCAGGCTTCTTGGAAGCAAGACTTCCTCTGAGAGTTTTGTTTTTATGCATTTGTCTAATGTGCTTTCTTTGCATTTAAACTAATCTTGGAGCCATTGCTTTGCTCTTACCAATCAAGCCTTTAAGCAGAATGGGGGTCAGGAATGGGAAGCTGCCACTGTACACAGGGTGAAACATAGTGGGGCTTATTGGAAACCTGAACCCTCACAGATGAGGATGTGACTTATGAAAACAGCAGTCCCCTCATGAACTTAGAAGACAGAACCTTTTTTTCATCAGTGGAAACTCATGATATTTGAAGTAGATGTTTTTTCCACTTTTTTTGGTCATTTATACACAATCAAAATGATGTCATTGTTGGAACATTCTCTGTCTTGGGGTGAATAAAAAAGAAAAAAAGAGATGTTAGGATTCATTATGCCCCCCCCCCCAGACCTCTAGCTACCTACACCCAGGTTGGCTAATAAGCATCTCAAACTACTTGCCCACAGTAGAATTCTTGATTATCCCCCACAGCCCATCAATTAAGTCTTCTCCAAGTTTCCAGTGTTCGCGAAGGGGTGTCTCATCTGCCTGCCAAAGCAAAACTTTCCAAGTATCCCTGATTCCTTGTTTCCCTTTGCCGTACAGCTAGTCTGCCAGCAATTCTTGTTGGTCTTGATTCCTGTGTCTCCGATGTTTCTCTGTCACTGTCATTATCTCCTTCCTTGAATCACTTTTTTAGGATTCCTTCTGTTTTGCTTGCCATCTGTTTTCTACCAAGCAGCAAAAACCATCTTTCCTAAAATATTAATCAAACACGGATATGCCCAAAGTGTGTGCCTAATCAGAGCTGGTTGTTCCCTTGTCTAACACAGCTCATTAATTTTGAATCACAATGAATAGAATCTTAACCCCTTACCCTGGTTTGAAAAGTCCTTCATGGTAGGTTCCCAAACTCATATAACTTCACCATCTTTCCCATCCAGAGTCCCACACTCCTCATATGTGCTAAGCCATTGATCTGAGAGGCTTCCGTCTTTCAGGAGTGGCTTTCCTTGTCTTCCCACAGCTGCCTTTAGAAGAAGGTGTCCTGGTAAATGTTAGCCCTCATAGAGGCCCTTCCTGCCTGTCTAATGATATAAAGCCCCCCAGGCATCGTTTACATCACCCCTCTAGAATTTACAATAATTGTTCCTAGTACCAGTGTCTACTTCAGAATCAAAGATTCACAAGACCAGAGGTCATTCTTGCTTTGACACAGTTGTGTCACCAAGAACCCAGGCGAGGCCGGTGTTCGTTGTGGCACGGCCCCCATCCTCAGCTGTTTTTCTTTCAGTGTAGAATCCGGCTTTCTCTCAACATTTGCTCCAGTGCAGTGTCTTACTGTCTGTTCTGTTTTCACAGCAGACTGGACTTTATGAGTATAAAGTCTTTGGTATTTTAAAGGACTGCTCCCCGGCTCTGCTCGCAGATGTCTATATGGATTTAGACTACAGAAAACAGTGGGATCAGTATGTTAAAGGTAAGCGATATCTACTTTATGAATGAAAAATTAGAACCTTTTCCTGTTACTTCCAGCCAGTAGAAAAGAACAGATTTCATTTCTGCTATGTTGTGCTTCCTTTTAAATTTTGGCCCAAAAGTCTTTTGAGTGTGGGTCCGACATGCAGCTTAGCTTTTCCTGGCCATTGCTCTTCATGTCCTTTTATAGTATAGTCCTCTGCAGCTCGCCCTTGGGGCTGCTGTGCTATACCTGTGAAGCCGTGTTCTGATCCCATGTGGCAGGGTGGTTATGGAAGGCTCCTTGGAAGAAGTGGCATCCAAGCTTTGAGAGTTGAATCAAAGCTTTCTAAACAGGCAAGCGTGCACATATACAAGGAGGCAGAAAGAGAGAACATGCAGAGTGAGGAGGTGGTTGATTTGAGGGCATCCTAGGTAAAGGGAAGAAGAGAGGGAGCGAGGTCAGGAAAGCAGGAAGCAGTATGTTCACACTGCACCAGCAGTTTGGGGTTGCTGGGTTGGCTGGACCAGCAGAACCAGCCCCAGCTCTTTTGCAGCTTCAGAGTATGGTGCTCTCCTTAGGAACCTGCAGCACGAGGAGGGAGACACCAGGTCCCCCAGGACCTACCAATGTCCTGGTTACAGATCTTAGTCTTCATCCTGTAAGAGCTGCAGCATTGTGAAGGGCATTATTCCAGAGCTCCCCCTGCCACTTAGAGCTGGGTGAATCCTCTGCCATCTAAGTCACAGTGGTGCTGACCTGTGGAACTAGCCACCCATAGAGTCTTTAGTGAGAACGCCTGGCTGCATCCAACAAAAAGTCAACAAAAGACAACATAAGAAATGAGAAAGAGTTTATTGCTTCATGGCATTGGAAAGTCCAGAGCTTATTTCTAAGCTTCCAGGTCAGTTGTTTTTGAATAATTCCATCAAAATGTTTCCTTCTCTGTCTCTAGACTGTTTTCCTCTGTGTTCACCTAGTTCTCACATTCTTTTGTGGTGGCAAAAAACATCTTCTAGAAGATCCAGACTTATATTCTAACTAACCAGATGGTCCCAGAGGAACAAGGATTCCATCGGTGGTAGCCAGCAGGCCAGCATCAGCTCTCGGTACCATGGCTTGTTTCTGGTGGACGTTTGTCATGGTGCTGCATGACTTGTTTTCAGATACCCTCCCTGCAGAGGAGGCATAATGTACTCATTTGTTCAAGGAAGCCAGCTGGTTCCCTGTCCCCATCTGCCCAGCAGCCCCTATGGTATAAGCATAGACTCTGCCAGTGGCTTCAGCACGAAAAAGAGATGTGAGGAGGCAGGCAGCACACAAATCCTTTTTCTTCCGCGACAGCTGAGATATCTGGCTTTCAGGAAGGCGATATCCGAACCTGTGAGCTCTGCTTCCCAGCATAAGCAGCCTATGCGGTGGTATCTGGTGTGTTACGGGTTGCAGGTGCTTTGCAGGAACACCCCTGAGGTGCTTGTTGGTCCACCTGGGAACCTTGTTGATCCACATTAGGCCGAGACCTACTAGGAGTGGCAAATCACACATCAACCAGCTGCAGCATCCCCTGGCATCACTGTGTCCTTGTCTTGCTCATTCTGCAAACCCTAAAATTACGGCAGTCTCAGCCCTGTTTAAACCACAGAGTGGAGAAGCGCATGTTGGAGGGGGCACAGGAGATACCCTGGGAGACAATTGAGGTGCTGGTGCTGGTACAGGAAGGGAGAATCCGTGCTCAGAGTGTAAAAGCACCATCGACCTTTCTTTTCTCTCTCTAGCCCCACATGGCATGAAGGTGCTGGCAAGCCTTCATCCCAGCTGTGATCTGCTTCTGATTTTCTTTCAAAAGCCCGGTTCAGCTTCCACTGCATTTCCTGGGGCCTCTCTTGGTCAAGTCAGCAGGGCTGCTGCTTTTGCTGGAAAGCTTGTGTGTCACTCTGTCCCTTTGTCGCTTCGCCGCCTTCCAGCAGTGCGAGGGAATCATCGTTCAGGAAACTTAGACACTGTAGCGTCGAGTGAAGACAGAGACATGAGAGAGAAGCAAGAAGAAACCCAGCCTTTTTGCAGCTGTGCCAGAGATAGTGCCCTGTGGGGGACCTTTCCCTTCCTACCAGAACCTGCTAGGCTGGGTGATCCTCTCTGTCCTCAGCTCAGCAAGAAGAGCTGAAAGGCAAGAAAGGTCTAAAAAGCACAACTTTTAGTACTCTAGTGACATCTGGTGGTTCCCCGATTCAAAACCCTCTGATTATTTTTTGGTTCTTGACTTTTGTTCCATTGCTTTTCATCCCAGAATGCAGTTCGTGCTGTAGAGTGGACAAGTTGCCAGGATCTTTTATGTTTATAGTGTTTTGCTATTTTCCTGGGCAACACGCTTCCACAGTGAGAGAATCTGCCCAATTTTGTTTAAGAATTCTGATGAATTGGTGGTTGAATCTGTACTACGAGATCATCTTGCTTCAGCTTCTTGCTATTTAAAGCCAAAGACGTTTTTAGATGTACTAATTTCTTTTGTTCCCCTTTAGAAATCTATGAAAAAGAATGCAATGGAGAGACTGTGACGTACTGGGAAGTGAAGTACCCTTTTCCCATGTCCAACAGAGACGTATCCTTTCTGCAAGCCATACCATCTCTCGGGTCTCCCCATGTCTCTGTGCCCTCAGTCTCTGTGCTACTCTCTCAGTGGGGGTGTGATTTTGTACCACGTAGGAATGACCCTGTTTTTAGTTCTTACAGAAGCCTCTGCTGACTGTATGGCTTTCAGAGGCCTCACAGTGCAATTGTTGGGCCACTGTGGACACTAATGGCAGCTCATGCTTTCCAGACAAGTTGTCCAAGCCTGAAAATTCTTGGGTCTTAGAATTGGGAGCCTGGAAGTCATAAAGACTGCTGCTTCAGTTCCCTCAATGCTTAGAGGAAGAATGGGGTGCAGGAGGGGGCAGTTGGAGGTATGGGCAGAACCAATGCAGGACTCAGGACTTGACCACGTCCAGGTAGCCCTTCTGACTTAGCAGACCGTGCAGCGGTTTCTGACTGTTGGCTGCGGTCACTAGGTGTTTATGAAATGAAGCAGCTGGATGAGATGAGGGGAACTTGTCTGGCTGTGAGGAGAACGAGATGATATTCACTGTGAGGTAAAGGAAAAAGACCTGTAAGGAGCACTGTGGAGAAGGAGAGCATTGTCAGTGCTGCGGGGCCACTGGTGGGCACTTGAATGTGATGATCATGGGCTTGGCGGGTGCTGGGAAGACCCTGGCAGCGTGACGATGTGGTTCCTCTCTTTAGGAGTGTGATCGTGTTATTCTTACAGTAACTTTTTGTGTGCTGGTAGTTGAATCCAGGGCCTTCACACTGAGCTACAACCTTAGCTCTTTTAAATATTTTATTTCGAAGTGGTCTCACGAAGGTACCCAGGCTCAAATTTGCAATCCTCCTATCTTAGCCTCCCAGACTTCTGGGACTATACTCAAATGCTACCATGCTCAGCTAGAGTGACTTTTCGATTGCCTTAGTTTTTAAATTTTTTCTAGCATGAAACCCAAAATGCTGTTGTTGGAAAGTATAATTAAATTTTGATCCCCATCCAGCTCTAATATTCTGAGTAGGACTAGACCCAGATCTCAGTTTAAATTCAGGTTCTGTCACTTCTACTGTGTCGCAGGATTTTTAGCAAGCTTATCACTCAGAGTCTCACTTTTATCAACCATCGTGTGGAGACTATTTGTACTGAACTCACGGGTCTTTGTAAGATCAAAATTGATGCTATGTGGTGTTCAAAAATATGGTAAATATTTAAGTAAAAGTTAAAAATTATTGCAGTAAAAGACACATTGCCATTACTGATGTCCTGAATCAATTCAAAATGTTGGAAATCTCTGTCAAATAAAAACACGATGGTATGTGCTCCCTGCCTTGCTTGCTGGATCTGGCACCATGTGACTTCTGGATCTTCGTCAGAGTCAAAACGAGCTCATGCTTGTTTTGGTAAAGGATTTGAAATGATGCAGGATCCTGACACTGCCAGGTCAGCGCGACTAAAGCTACTCAGGAAAGGAATCCAGATGCTTCCAAAGGTGGTGAGAACCCTAAGATCAGTGTGCTCAACGCCAGGAGAGAATTTTGAGGAGGATTAATGGCAATGTGTCTTTTACTGTAATAAATTTTTCAACATTTATTTAAATATTCACTGTATTTTTTTTTATTACATCGCATAGGCATAGAGCATCCATTGCTTATTACACGGAAAGGGCTCAGGAAAGAGTGACTCTTGTTTCTTATGGTGTGATCGTTTTCCTTCCAACAGAGGCACAGACCTAGGGCTGTTCTGTGGATGTTTATGGGGAGGAAACGGCTTTGTCATCCTTAGTAAACCCCTACTGACCAAGAGAGGATGTCTCCCTCGTAAATAACCAGGAGTTCATGTGCCCTGCTAGCGTCACTAGTTGCATCACTGCCGATGTCTCTGCATACACATCTGTCACCAGAGCTTGGGTGAGGACAGGACAAAGCAGAATGGCACCGCTGTCTTTCAAGTACTTCTGCTCAGTCTTTCTCTCAAGCCCCGCCAAGCCTATAGAAAGCGTATCACTCCCTTTTCCTACCTGCAGAGACTGAGTCTCAGAGAGGGTGAGGGACTTGCTCAGGATCACAGTTGACCAGCGAGCAATCCCTTGCCCTCTCCAAGTGCCTTCTGGAGAAAGGAGAAATTGTTTCCTTGTATGATTGGAAGAATGGGTCTTTGCCAGGTAGGTGAGGAGAATCCTAGGTATATGAGGTACCACCTTACAGTGCAGCCTGGGAGGCAAGGCGGGTAAATGAAGGACCAGCAGAAGGGAGCAGATGCGAACTGGGAAGTGCAGTCTCTTCCCTCTGCCTCCTGCTTTCGAGGTGTCCCTGCCCTGTGCAGTGCTGGTGGTGATGTTGAGCCTTGACTGGCAGGGCAGTATGTCTACATCCGGCACCGGCGAGACTTGGATGTAGAAGGGCGGAAGATCTACGTGGTCCTGGCCCAAAGCGTCTCTCTGCCTCAGTTTCCTGAGAAGTCGGGTGTGATCCGAGTAAATCAGTACAAGCAGAGGCTGGCAATTGAAAGTGATGGCCATCAGGGGAGCAAAGGTAAAGCCCGGGGTGCAGGTCAGCAACACAGCTGGGCCCACACTGATGGAGAGGCAGTTAGGTGCACGGAGCTGGTCCCTGGTGGTCAGTGGGTGGGCAGGCACAGGTGCAAAGCAGACAACAGGAGACCCTTAATCCACCCAGGATTGGCTGGAGCAAGAGGGACAGGGCAGACTGGCCCCAGCCCATTCTCTTCTGACTCTTGCTCTGTCCCTGATAAAATCACATCAATAGGAAACCAGAGGGCTGAGACCAGAGGGCTCACAAGTTCTCTTTAGGCTGCCCCCGTGGTCAGAAGCACTGAGCTATGAGTAGGCAAGAGTATGTGGTTTCTGTTCAGTGCAAAACCAGAGACTCGGGAGGCCCTCTGTGCCGTGAGATCTGGCCACTGGGGAGGCAGGTGCGGGCAGAGAGGGGCATGAGGCCAGCTGCTGCCCTGGGTTGAGTGTGTCCTATGTCTTAGGCAAAATCTAAGCCATAGTTCTGATGCTGATACATGCAACTTCTCTGAATCTCTCTTTTATCAATAAAGCGGGCTTCATTTTGCCAGTTCCCAAGGATTATTCGAATAAATAAATAAGCAACTACTTCCCATTGACCAGCACATCTTTAAAAAATAGCAAAGTGTGCATATGGCCATGTTTTTAAAAATGCTTGTCTGTAAACATGGCTCAAGACAGGTCAGCGGAGAGAAGTCCATTGCAACTGTCTCATTTCTGGACCTGGATATGAAGATGCAACATTTGTAGGAGTTTGTTTTCCCTGTGTTTTTCATCTTCTGAATTGTCTTTTTTCTTTCCCTCTCTCCAGTTTTCATGTATCACTTCGATAACCCAGGTGGCCAAATTCCGTCCTGGCTCATTAACTGGGCAGCCAAGGTGAGATATCAGGGGAAGGCAGGGCGGGAGGGGGAGAGGCTTCCCAACATGTTGACTTAGCCCAGAGGCTGTCACACACACTGAAGAGCCACATTGTCGCAGGCAGAATGAGGCTTTTTTATGAAGAGCTTGGTTGAGTGACTTTGGTTTGGGGCTGGGGTTGCCAACACCCAGGATGGAGACAGGGACAAAAGACAGAGAATTGTTAAGTTGGAATGCCAGCTCCTCTCTGCCGGTGGCCCCAGACCTGGCCACAATCACTCTCTGGCACTTCTGGACAATAGACTGCTCCCTGCAGGAATAATCGTACTTTTGGCCCCTGTATGTGCTTATTAAAGGGGAACGCTTGGGGGACAGCCAGACTTAGAGGCAACCAGACATACCCTAGCCTGATGGGAGCCTCTATTTTGTGGTTGTTGTGCCTACTTTTTTTTTTCCTCTGTGGGCAGAAAAAACCACAAGGGCGGCCCAGGTCACTGGAGATCATCTGGGACCCTGACATGATGGGGTATATTCACCATAGGCACAGGTTCATGGGAGAGCAAAAATGCTCATCAGCATGGGAGTTGAAAAAAATGTGATTTTCAATCCTGGCTCTGCTGTTGACTGCTATTTTATTTAGGAAGTCATGAATTTCTCCTTTAAAAAGAAAAACAGAGACAGAAGTTTTCTACTCCATGGAGGAATGTTTGTGAAAAATCTTGTGCTTGGATCAACACTGTTAAATAATGATACCTCCTCTCCTCTGACCCCAAATCCTTTTCTCTAATCCTAGAAACCAAGTCCTTTCTGTTGCTTCTTTGGAAGATCCAAGAACGAGGCAGCTCACATTTCCTGTGCTTGCTTGCTTTTCTTTCTTGCTTTCTTTTCTTTCTTCTTTCTTTCTTTCTTTCTTTCTTTCTTTCTTTCTTTCTTTCTTTCTTTTCTTCTTTCTTTCTTTCTTTCTTTCTTTCTTTCTTTCTTTCTTTCTTTCTTTCTTTCCTTCCTTCCTTCCTTCCTTCCTTCCTTCCTTCCTTCCTTCCTTTCTTTCTTTCTTTCTATTTTGGTACTGAAGATCCAACTCAGGACCTCACACTTTCCAGGGAGGCACTGTGCTTCTGAGCTATATCCCCGGTGTTGTTTTGGATAAACAAAATCTCAGAAAGTTCTCTGTGTTTCATTAGTGAAAGCCGAAATGGAAGGCAGCACCTAACCCTTCCAGATGCCGCGACTTTCCTGTGTTCTGAATCTTGTCTCTCATTATCTGCAACCTCATCCTGGTGAAATCTGTGCAGGGACCCTGCTGACTTTTTTTGTGCTGAAAGCCATCTTTCTGTACCATTGGCTCACCCCAAAGGATCTAGAGTGATCTCCAGGAGGATATCAAAGTGACAGTTTCTTTTTCCTTTGCAGAATGGCATTCCGAACTTCCTGAAAGACATGGTGAAAGCCTGTCAGAACTACCTCAGCCAAACCTAAGAAAGAGCTGGGTTTGGTGCTGCACGTCTGTAATCCTGCATTCTGGGAGGTGGAGGCAGGAGAATTACAAGTTGGAACACAACCTGGGCAACTTAGCAATTTAGTCAGACCCTGTAAGAGTGCTGGGGATATAACTCAGTGCAAAGGCTATAGGTTCAGTCCCCAGTACCACACACAAAAAAACAAAAAACCTAAGAAAGAAAACTGGGAACCGTGCATCCAGGGAATGATGTTTCTCGAAGTGCCACAGTCTACCGAAGCTCAGTCTTCCTTTCACACTTCTGGCTGCTGAGGTCTGCACACCCTACAGCACGTCTCGAAGCCTGGCTCCCTGGAGCCGGGCTCACCCGTCTGCTTGCTTTCCACTCACCCTGCCCCAGCGTCAGCCGTCTCCTTCCACTGCTGAACAGAAAGCGAATTAAGGAAACGTTTGCTTCTTTTTAAAAGGGAAGTCCTCAATAGGAAACAGGCATTGCATGGTGCCATTGCAGGGGGACGGGCAGGTGGTAGACCGCCAACTTGCAAGAGTGGCTGTTCTGGGAAGCTGGCTTCTTCCTAGAAGGTACTTTCTTGCAACCCAGAGGAACTATCCAGAGCTGACATTAGGTGCCTTAAACTGGACACGTACTGATTTGCTTTCTACTTTATTGACTTGAGGAGGCTGGGATTTAAAGGCCTAACCCAGTGAATTTGCCTTCCAGAAGGTTTGGAGATGTTGAAGGGATAATAATTCACAGCCAGGTAGAATTTAATTAGCAGCTTGCACCATTTTTTCCCCTCAGGGATTCTACCTACACTGTCCCAAAAGGACTATCGGCGTCCTCTGCTTTCTCTTGAATTTTGGTAAGGTAAGATGGTCTGTGGCCCAGTGCACACCGTTGGTGATCTCAGGGAAATTTTTAAATTACTATTTGGGTTGGTCTGGACCTTGATTCACATACACAAAGTCAGAGGAAAGGGTTTGTTAAAATGGGATTCTTCAAACTGTATGTTACCTCTCTGGGACGAAAAGTGTGTTTCATGATGAATAAACAGAGACTCACTCTTGTGTGTGGCCTCCTGTCTGCCTTTTTAGTTCTATGAGAGTGAATTAGTTACATCTCTTTTGTTTGCCCTTTTGATGTATGGCCTAACTTGTAGACTTGAACACACAAAGAATTTGGGGCTCACTCATATGCTAGGGTAAATACAAGTTGGTTTGGGTAAAGAATGATACATGTGCTCAAACTAAGATTGAACTCAGTGCTGTTTGGTTTATCTTTGATACTGGTCTGGATTTGGGGGGTAGGGATGCTGCTAAAAGCAACAGAGAAGTCCACATCTGCCCAGGCACATACTAAGGAAAAGAAAATCACATTTTTTTTCAAAATGTCCTGTGCCATTCTATAATTCAGGTTTTCCTTAAAACGTATTATCTGTGCCAGCGACACTAAGGGCATATGGATGGGTAGGATTATGTAAATACCGTCATTCTCCTTACATTTATCTTTAAAATGTCAGTATCAGTAATGTAGCTAGAACTTAACCTTAGGTAAATTAAATTAAAAAGAATCCTCATGTGGTAGAGGATAAGTTGAGGTCTTTTGGAAGTGCAAGCACTGTTGGTTTGTTTGTTTGTTTGTTTATAGTACTGGGGACTGAATTTAGGGATTTTCTTTTGTAAGGCAAATACCCTACCACTGAGCTACATACCCATTCTTTTAAATTTTATTTTGGGACAAAGTCTTTGAAATTACTCGAGCCAGCATTAAACTTGTGATCCTCCTGCCTCAGTCTCCCAAGTAACTGAGATTATAAGTATGCCAGGATTATAGTCTTTGAACAGAAAGTAGATGTGAAATTGTCTTATGCAAACCGTTTGTATAAACAGTATTCAATCATTGGTAAGAACTATGAAAATACTAAGAACAATTTTTAGGTGAGGTACTTAGAAAAAAGATTATAGATACATCATAATTAGTGGAATTTGACTTTGGGGTATTTATGCTTGCCAATTTGGAGTACTATAGGACAATGTAACAGCATTGAAATATGAAGTGCACCTGATCCTTTTTTTTTTTTTTTTTGTCTTTTTCCTTTTTATCGGTACCGGGGATCGAACTCACAACTGCCTGCTTGCAAGGCAGGTACTTATGCCGCTGAGCTAAACCCCCAACCCCTTGCACCTGATTCTTAAGGATACCCATTTCCACTGGGGATGAACCCCAGTTCTTTTCCCATTAAGAACCTGAAAGTGGTAAATATACCCTCTTTTTACAGCTTATTGCTATGTTCAGATTTTCGGTGTCTGGCTTTCAGGTAGCCAGTAAGTGTCTTGTGGATAGAAACATTTGTTGTGTTTTGATTCCTGGCCCCTGACTATAATATATACTGGGTATTCAAATGGGACCTGAGTGAATAAATGATTTAGAGAAGACTGAATAAACGATAGCAAATCCTGAATACTAAACGTGCAGATGACAAGCTTATCCTCCATTGATTCAAGCCAAATTATTCCTGTAGGTCAGCATTTTGAGGGAGTGCTCTAGATTTCCTAGGTTCCTCTTGGTCTTTCCTTCACACCTTGGGTTCACTGGAGAGTACTGTACTACAGTGTTACAGAAATGGTGCAGATTTGACTGGTCCAGCTAAGTCAGGATTTCAGGTGGAATTTAACGACAGAAGTAGCAGTGCCCTGAAGGTTCAATTTTTTCCACAGGCAAACTAGTGACACTCAACAATTCAAAGTTAATGATCACCTTGGAGCTTAGGAGTTCCAGCAGAAGGTCACTTCCCTTGAAAATGTTCCTGTTTCACAGTGAGAGTCTTGGCCTGGCTCCCTAGCAGAGATTCCTCCCCCATCCTCATCCATGATGTCTGCCCTTCATACCTCCTGCTTCCCAGCTGGATTTAGAGGAGACAGAGCAGGAAGAGACCGCTGGGTTCTCACATTTGTGGTAGCACCACCCAGCTGGCTCAGGGAATTAGATTTAAAAGCTTGGATGTATTTAATCACTTACCAGGCATTTTTTTTTTTTTTTAAAAGCCTGAATGCATCCTTGAGGCCAGGCAGCAGTGATTTCTGGAATGAATGAGACCATCTTGGTGTCAGCAGGCGAGGAGTTTATGGCCTAATTAGTGAAAGCTACAACCAGTCAGCTGCTGGAGAGCAATGAGCACACAGAAAGGACCAGCACGGGGAGCTGAACGGCCCCAGCTGAAGGTGAGGGCCAGGGAAGAAGCTACCAAGCTGGCTGGGAGAAGGTGGAGGAAGAAAACCATTCCAGACCAGAGATCTGTTGGCATAAAACCCCTCAGCAAAAGAGTGAGATCTGTAGAACAACGAAAGGCCACCATGGCTGGAACGAGGGCATGAGGAAAGCAATCTTTGTACTCTAGAACATAAAATTATACAGAGTAACAGGCTTCATTGTGATACTGTCAGACACACACACAGCATGCTTTGGGCTTATCCTTCCTCCTTCCTTACTCTTCCACTCTCTTCTCCCCAAGAAAAAGAGTCCTGTACTCATGTGTGACTGAAGAAATAGGCATGTAGACCGTGGGAAGTCCTGATCGCCATACAGGAGTTCTGGACTTGATACCAAGAGCACTAGGAAGCAGTGAAGAGTTTTAGGATGAGAACTGATTTGATAAGATTTAGTAACTCCTAACAGCTGCTCAATTTCTCCATGACTTCCCAGTATTTCTAAAGGCCCCTCCACTGTGGTCCTGGGGGACCACCAAAGTGTGTTAAGTTCTGTTACTTTGACTCTACCTCACTGTCAGGCAGCACATCGGATAGTTGATACTTACACTGAATTTCCCAAGTGAGCATCAGCTCCTGATGTTTAACTGGGAAGAATGAAAATGGAATAGGGCATCTGTCTTAGTCACTTTTTCGCCACTAGGACACAATACCCAACATCCACAATTTAAAGAGATGCTTATTTTGGCTCACAATGTTTATTTAGTTGGCTGGCTCCAAGGTGGGGTGACATGGCAGAGGGGTGTAGTGGAAGAAAAGCTGTGCGACCACAGCATCCAGGAAGCAGAAAAGAGAGAGAGGTGAGGAGAGGGAAGGGAGATGCATCCTCCCTGGTCACGCCCTGAATGACCCTCCTTGTCCATTCCAATCCTTCCTTTCAACAGGAAGTCAGTTATAGCATCCCACAGTTCAATTATTTTCCAGAAGCCCTGCCTATATGAGTACATGAGGTTTCAGGGGAATGTTTTGATGTAAGACATAAAAGCATCCAACGCCCCTCTGCCCCAGCTCACCTGGCCCATGCTGGGGTACAACATGCCTTCCACTGGGGCTGGGTCATTTAGTCCATCAAAACAGACTCATTCCCAGGGCTGGAAATGGAAGAGACAAAAAAAAAAAAAAATCATAAAAAATAAGTCTACTTTCTCCAAATTTTGTTTTGCTATATTCATGTCCACCTATAAGTGAGAAGACAGAAATATATTATTTACCTGGGTCACAGACTCCAGAACCAACCAGTGCAAATGGAAGGCTTTAGAGACATTATTAATTTTGCTAATATATATGTGAACAGGTTCGTGTGTCTACTTGGATGCACACAAAAGTGCTCCATTTCATGAGGTATAACAATGGCACAGTGACTAAGGGGCCTGCTATGTGGGTGACTTTTCAAGTTCTCTACTTGATGTTCCAAGTCTAGCACTGGTCACTTCTGTACAGAGAGACGGAATGAATTCTTCCACTAGGGAATTAACAGGATGCCGAGGATGTGGGATATGTGTCCAAATGTTTACAGTAAGGAGAAAGCATGTGTACCCCACCATATGGAAGGAAAACTTAATTTAGAAGCTGGTAGCAAACTGCTAATTATTCCACGGGATCTGCTGTCTGCTAACTCCGAGTGACTGAGTTTTATCAGAGTGCCTGTCTTCTAGCCCCACCTCCCCCAGTGTGGGGACGAAGTCATGGGACTAAAGTCTGGCCTGTGTTGTGTAAGTAATAAGTGTCACTTCCAGCTCAGGATACTAAAAGGAGAAGGTGTGACCTCATTCGGTCCTTGTCCCTTCCACTGTGTCTGGAAAATGAGACCTGGAGTAAACACCTTGGATTCAAAGATCAAAGCTAAGATTAAGGGATTGTAAATAGCTTTTCCCTCCTCGGTTTGTTTTAAGCCACCCACTTTGGTGACTGTTGGAGAAAGAAATACTCTTCTTTCTTATTGCGGGCATAGCATTTGCTTGTTTTTCAGTTTTTGTGACAGAGGGGGTTGAACCCAGGGTCATTACACGAAGCTACATCCCCAGCCCTTTTTAGTTTTTGTTTTTTTTAATTTTCTTATTTTATTTTAAAGAGAGTAAACATAACAAAACAGAACAAAGCAGATCAGAAGAAAACAATGGAAGTGACACAGATTTCAAAGCAAGACAACAGGCGATCAACAGTGGCTACCATAATGTCTCTTGTTTTCTTCCAAGTAGTTGTCTATATCTTCACACACAATGAATTCATACAACACAAAATAGTATTAAACTGATCAGGACAGAGTGATAAAGGCATTATAGGCCTTCAAAACCAGACAATAGGAAAATCAACAATAGCTGATAATGTCTCTTGTTCTCTTCAAAATAGCTGTCCATATCTTCATTGAAATACAAATACAATACAAGACAGTCTAAAATCCCTCTGAACAAAGAATAAAAGCATCACTGGATTTCACAGCATGATGATATGGAATCAGCAATGGATACCATAATGTGTCTTTTTCTTCAAACTAGCTGTTCATCACTCATAATATAATATAATCAATTCTTATAAACTGTTTAGAAGTTATATGCATGCATAAGCCTCTACATGTATACCTATCCTTTCTGTTTTGGAGGGAAAAACAAAACAAAACAAAACAAAGCAAAATGAATTACTAGAAAAACACAAAACAAAAAGACAAAAAACATTAACAAAGATGATATAGGCCTTCAAAATAAGGTGCTAGGAGTATAACTAGGGTTATTATTTTACATAATGATCTTCAAGAGTTCCTCAGATCACCAGACACTAACATGCCCAGTTGTTCCAATCCTATG